TATGATTCTATGATTCTATGATACAGGAAGGCTGGGGAGGGACTTTTTACAAGAGTGTCCACTGATAGGACAAGGGGAAATGGGTTTAAGTTGAAGGAAAAAAGATTTAGATTAGATCTTAGGAAGAAATTCTTCAGTACGAGGGTGGTAAGACTTTGGAATAAATTGCCCAGAGAGGTTGTGGATGCCCCCTCCCTGGAGGTGTTCAAGGCCAAGTTGGACGGAGCCTTGAGTAGCCTGATCTAGTTGAGAGGCGTCCCTGCCCATGACAGGGAGTTTGGATTAGATGATCTCTAAGGTCCCTTCCAGCCTATGCCATTCTATGATTCTATGATCTTTAAGTATTTGACTGAGACCTAATTTATGCTTTGAAAAATTGGTTTTAAAAAATTGCTTCTATAACTTGATTTATCAGAAGGCAATGGCAGGCTTTTAATGACTTCACCTGATAATGAGCACTCTTGGAAACTATCACAAGACACTGCTGAAGAAGTATCTCAGCACGAGTTTTCTGGTAAAATGCTTGTAATAAATCATTCAGTTTTGCCCACAAGGTACTGTATGCTGGGAAAAGGTCTAAAACCCGAATTCTAAAACATTTTTGAAGGCAACTGACACTTGGAGTAATACATACAGTTAAAAAAAACAGAGACACAGTTACACCTTCGGCTGAGAAGTTCACAGGAGTTGACATTTGGGCAACTGCCATTAATTTACTTCCCAATTATTTTTTCCAGTGATTTTAGCCAGTTTCTGGGTACAGAGGCTTCATACATACCATTTTTCCAAAGGCACATTCTCATACCTGATCTAGTAAAAGGGAATTTGGTAGAAAATGTCAGAATCCAACTTCATTGTTTACTAGAGAAAAATATATTCTTTTCTTCTCAAGATTCAAACTGTGAAATCAATTATAGCTTCTGCATAAGCAACAATTCAGAATGTGTAACACTCTTTTCTTCTCAATTAGCACTCAGTAAAATTGCACATTTCAGGGAACTGAAATACACAATGTCTCTTATTACCATTAAGCTATAGGTTCATATTAATAAACATTTGGCTCCAAAAAGATGATTATTGTAACCTGCAGAATTTGCAGATGACAAGAGACAAAGGGAGAGCATTAAGAAAAAGCAGCAGAAATGAAACATCTCATTAGAGAAGTAATCTTAGATATTATCTAACCCCACTGACCTTTTACCTACTTATTCGTTATCAGCCACTTAATTGCTCTTAGGTGTCACTGACTCAACTCTTGCAGAAAATGAAGAGGAGAAAACCTCACATAATGACTCTGAACAGTTTCAGGGAAGGCATTCCGAATTATGAAGTCATTGCTTCAGCTGATAAAAAAGCCGTACGGGTGGAATGGATGGAAATCAATCCGCTACTCAGAGACGGGAAAGTCAGAGGGACTTCATCAGAGCCATCAGAAAGAGACAGGGGAACAAGCAGGGACAGGAAAACCTCGGCTGAGAGTCTATGGAAGAGGAAGATGAGGAAGGGAAATCTATGGGAGAGGTTAGCAGAAGATGTGCTTCTACTCTAGATAGCCCAGACTCCCAGTACCCTGCAGAACACACATATTTAAATTACACTCACTTTTGTTCACTTCCTCAGGCACAAATTTTATTCAAGCTGAACATCTGCTTTCAAGAAAGGGCAAACTCTCAGAGCTCCATCGCAGCCATCCCTGAGTGAGGATAAAATAAAAATAGGACAAAAAGGATTTGGTGCCTGGGAGAACAGAAACAGCTGAGTGACAACACAGCCTCAGCAATTACTTTTACAGATGCATCATTTCAGACCTCTCCAGTGGAAGGAAGCGGTTTGCAGCACCAAAGTACAGACGATTTTCAGTCTCTGCGCATGGCTTGGCAAGCACAGGGGTTCCACAGCAGCCTTCCTGCTGGTCACTCGCTGGGTAAACCCTCTTCTGGGCACACCATCTTGTCTCTGTGGATTGTTGAGCATATATCCCAAATATGCTGCAAGTTGGAGGGGAAAAACCCAACCTGACAGTTCATCCAAACTCCCCCTTTTAGTTTTTAGCAAATTTTGTATTTCAAAACCAGCTTAGTCTGCAGGGCCAGTTCAATCCTAGGCACCACCGACAGTGGTGGCACAGCAAGTGTCACAAGCTGTGGCCATCCCAGCACCATTGGGTATCTGTCTCATCCTGAACTGGGTTAGTTTACAGCTCACCCCACTTTGGTAACACGTGTTTAAGGGCAAAGTCTACTGCAGGGGATTGCATTTGCTTGCCTGAATTATTGTACTGCCGAACAATTTTGGTTGGCAGTAGCATTCTGCACAGAACCGGACACAGGGCTAACGCAGGAAGCAAGGCACGGTCCTTCACTGGCACATGTCTGACCAGTTCCATCCACTTCCCGGGGACCATTCCCGTGCCCAAAGACAGCACGTGAAGTCAAGGACGGAGGGGTCCTTGACTTTCGGCACAGAAGCATTTCCTGCTACGCTTCAGCGCGCTGTAGCATCCCAGTCCTCCTTGCTTGGCCTGTATTTAAGCAGCAATCGAGAGTTCTCAAATTCCCTCCCCAACGTCTTCTGAAGGTTAATGCTTACTGAGTGCCTTAAAATACTTGGATGAGAAAGGGCTGTAGAAAAATACAGGAGTATGGATGCATTATGATCAGAATTTATAGCTTGATTTCCTAGAATAAAACTGCCTAAGCTGTGCTCGCAGCTTCCTTTAAGTGAGGGGAAGAGGGAGAGGGGAGAGATGTCACACGACAGCAGCTCACATCAGCAAACAGAATAGGGATCTAAGTTATACTAATGTTACTTTTCCTTTCTTTAAAAAAAAATAAAAAAATAAAAAAATAATCAAGGGCTGTATCCAAAATCATCTTTTTATTGCCACTTTATACAGATTTAAATATTTAATACTCAGATAAACAACTATCTGTGTTTATGTAGTTTGTTCTTAATTACTTCACCATAAACTGGTAGAATCTCCCTTTTCAAGTTCTGTAAGATTCCTTCTGGTGGATCCTGAAGTTTTTACTTGGCATGTTGGCATATCTCACAGCAAAAAGGAATTATTTTTCAGTGAACTATATAGTGTTTAATGAAAAAATTATTACACAATGTAGGCTTTCACAATAAGTCACATTTTTTGCAAAATAACTTGAAGATTCCAAGTAAGACTTCTCTCTTTTATTCAAAAAATAAATATATCCTTTCTGAATCAAAGCACTTCATATGACATTAAGTACAAAGAAGAAATGTACTTCTTTGGAAGTTCTGAAACAGACATACAAGAGCTCATGGGAGCAACATTATCCGTAACAGTGATAAAAGCTGAAAGCTGATTTTTTACAAATTTATAGCAGAACACAATTTCCTTTTACAATATAGAGCTTCAAACAGATTTAAGAAAAACACCATTTTAAAAGTCTGAAAGGCACATGAACTGGACCATAAAACGTACTGGCACATTCACTAATACGTTTTATGTTACATTCCTAAGAGAATCTGCGGGACCTTAGCCAAGAGACAGACTGAAAATACCAGCAAGTTCCTTTGTAAAGTACTGAGAGAGTGGCAGAGAGTTCCTTTTGGCTCTTGATATAATTATTAATACCCCAAAGCTAGAGAGTCTGAAAAGCTGCATCATTCAGTTGTATTTGGACGAGTCGCTACATAAACAAATACAACAATCAGCAGCACTACAACAGCCAGCGTGGGCAGCACGACGGTGGTGATTTGTTGCCGGGCCTCTTGCATTGCCTGTTTTCTCTCCTTTTTATCTTTGGAGGTCTCTTTTTTGGGTTTTCCTCTTAGCTGCCTCATCCTCCTCTTAGGATCTCTTGTTTGCTGGAACGGGCGAGTGAAGGGAGTTGAGCAGCACAAAATAGCCCAAGGTCTTTTGAAACAAGGAGCTGAAATGGTTGGCTGTGCAAGAAACTGTAAAAGAAGGAAAAATACCAATTCTTTTAAGGAAGATCTACTCATATTCCAGTTATTAAAACCATCTGCAGCTCCACTTGGCAAACCTTTTATCCAACTGGCACCAGTATCTGTGCAGCTTCTTTCGAGGGAACGGAATCGCAGTGCGCTCGCTCAGCTCGCCAGTAACGCCTTCCCCACAAAAACGACAGCAGTTCCTCGCAGCGCGTGCATTTGTCCGAGAGCACCGAACGTGCACTCTGTTAAGCCAGAAACAAAGCTCAGCACCACACACTTTGTCCTCTAAGGCAAACAAGATAACACAGCTGAAGACTTCGAGAAAATAACATGAATTAGTCTTGCGTCAACACAGAGAACCAGCTGCCCCTTCTGGTAACAGCAGCAGGTTCCCAACCAAAGGTCTGTGGCTCTCCATGAACCTGCAGAACGAGGAAGGGCACACACCCCTCCCTGCCATAAGGAAAAGCATTCAGCATTTATCATCCACGCCAGGTATTTATTGGAATAAAGGGCATTCTACCAGGAAGAAACGTGGGGAAAGCTGCTTAGCTTATACTTCTGGTTCTGCTGCCGTAGAACAAAGTCTAAATCATAACGTGACTCAGTGCTGCCATTTTTGTAAGAAAAAGATCCCAAACGATAACCAGCCTGCTTAAAAATCACTGTTGTAGACAAGCAGTCATTAACTTATTAATTATTAACTCTGAATTATTAACTTATTAACTCTGAAGCATCCACTAGACCAATTTTTACAAGCAGAAGTATCTATAAAGTGAGGTTAACAAAAACACTGCATGACACGAAAGCCTCTCCGAACTAAGGAGAATCAGTAGGTGCTTAACATTTCCCCACCCTCAGTTTTTTTGCCCCTAAGGTGCCTACAGCTGTGCAACAGTGAGGGTGCAGGGCAGAGGGAGGAGGCCAACCGTTCGGCTACATTCCTCTTTGCCACATCCCCCATTCCTGCAGGGCACAATAACTGGTACAAGCCAGATGTATCTAAACACAAATTTGGAGGGTAACAACTACTGATGTCAAAAACAGAGTGGAAGTGAAAGCAAACTATGAAGTGATATTTTTCCATCACTCTCTAACATACTCACAATAAAACATATGCAGAAATTAGTGGGTTAACGTAACTGTCTCTTTTCTTTCCCCTTTTATATCAAAACATAAAGATTATTTTTGTGTGCTGCTGTAGGTGAGGAGCAGGTGTCAACAAGCAAAGCCACGAAGCTCCCTCAGTTCACCACAGACACGATTTCCTCTTGATGTGTCATCTCTGGTCAAGGTTACAAGTTGTCTTACAACTACTTTTTTTTAAAAAAGAAGAGGTTTTCACTGAAAGTGAGATGCTTTCTGTTGGTGTAGCACTCAACCTTAGTCATCAGACTGACAACGGAAGCAAAATCAAACTAAAATGCTCATATACAAAAGGAGAATCCCCACCTATAGGTTATGTGCAACTACAAAGGAGTTTTCACCCTTTCTGTAAGCAGCAACCTGCCTGCTGTCAATCCCATCCAGCCAATTAGGTTGGTGAGATACTGCATCAATTAGGGCAAAATGTGGAATAACTCAAACTTGTGGAAGTGACCAGACTATCAGAACAACTACGTGCTTCTGGGAAACCAACAGCAAATCGACAGGCCAGTATTTCTGTCTTTATGTGGCCCTTCCTGGATAAAATAAAAAAAAAAAACACCACCAAAAAAGCCATCAAGCGAGACAGGATCTCAGTGATCAGCTGGATTCACCGATTCTGCACCCCACGCACACACACCTGTCAAGCAGTTGTTTCTTCCCATCGTAAACTTTGCCAATTCAACCTGGACTCTGAGGCAAACTCTTCATTTCAGTTTTAATAAGGCATAAAAGGGAAATTTTGGTGACTGGGATAATTTTCAAAAGAGGAAACAATAAAGTTCAAGTCTCGGAAAGAACTAGTTCCTTCCGCAAGCTGCAGCATTAGAACTGAAATACGTAACACATTTAGAGAGACCAGACGCCGTTGGTGAACTTCACAGTGAGGAAGGAAACAGGAATTGGATGGAGCAACTACACACGACACCCTGTTCCGGTCTTTTAATCAAATGAGACTAATTAATTTCTAAACTTTCGTAACTGTTTCTCCTCAGCAAATCCTCAACTCTCTTACTGATTCTGGGCAGAGTCTTTGGTATTCCACCTTCTGCAAGCTATGGGTTTCTGGTTCCGTTTTGTTTATCATTTCTCTAACTGACTCTTGAATTGCCTCTGGGACAAAAGAAATGTGTGCTTTACCCCTTCCATTTCTGTTTCGTTCTCCTCCCACTCTGGTCACAACCTTTGTTGCCAAACTTTAGAAAAACTACTACGCAAAATAAAGTTTTACATTTGCCCTTTGTGATAATCAGACAAGCAGAGCGTTTCAGGCTATAGCATTTTCATAATGTTTTCTGTCTCCACTGTTAATGTACGTCTGGGTTTTGTATCTGAATGACTCACAAGACCCAAGAAGTGATGGACAGTAAAAGCCTTTGGGACTTTCTGTGTACCATAGTAACAAACAGGAGTTGCCATGAAACCAATCTCTCCAACAATAAATGTATGCCTTGCTCTATGCAGCATCACTTGCTACCCAGACATTAAAAACATCAGGATGATTTTTTAAGTCTCTTGAATATTTCATTCTGAAGCAAAATTATACCAAGCTAATTACATACACTAGCTAACATCTGACGGCTCAGAACAGAAAGCCTTCCTGCAAATGTCAGCACCACTTGAAGTGCAAGCTGAAGCTCTCCAGTTTGGGAATCTGGCATCAATCCCCAAATATGTTTCCAGTAGACCGGGTTACTTGGCTTCGCTACTGGCAGAGATGGACTTGCACGGAAACTGGCCCACAGTTTTTAGAGAGATGAGCCTTAGGGTTCATCTTAACTGAACCATAAAATGGAGCAGTGAATGTCTGCAAGGAGCTGCCAAGCTCCTGACGCTCGGAGCCTGGACGTGACTGCCAGTATCAGACAGTTGCTGCAAGAGACAACGCCCACCCACAGGAATGGTCCAGGATGTTGTACATGTGGCTGTGTGGACCCTCTCTGGAAGGAGAGGCCTGGTTACTCAGGATATGGAGAAGGCTGAGGTACTCAATAATATTTTTGCCTGTGTCTTCCCTGGCAAATGCTCCAGCCGCACAGCCCAAGCCACAGAAGGCAAAGGCAGGGATTGGGAGGGTGAAGAACCGCCCACTGTAGGAGAAGATCAGGTTCCAGACCATCTAAGGAACCTGAAAATGTCCAAGTCCATGGGACCTGATGAGATGGATCTGTGGGTCCTGAGGGAACTGGTGGATGAAGTTGTTAAACCATTATCCATCATATTTGAGAAGTCATGGCAGTCTAGTGAAGTTCCCACCGACTGGAAAAGGGGGAAAAATAGCCCTCATTTTTAAAAAGTGAAAAAAGGAAGACCTGGGGAATACAGGCCAGTCAGTCTCATCTCTGTGCCCGGCAAGATCATGGAGCAGATCCTCCTGGCAACAATGCTAAGGCACACGGAAAATAAGGGCTTCACTAAGGGCAAATCGTGCCTGACAAATTTGGTAGCCTTCTATGATGGGGTTACAGCGTTGGTGGATAAGGGAAGAGCAACTGACATCATCTACTTGGACTTCTCCAAAGCATGTGACGCTGTCCTGCGTGACATCCTTATCTCTAAATTGGAGGGACACAGATTTGATAGAAGGATCACTCAGTGGATAAGGAATTGGCTGGATGGTCGCACTCAAAGAGTTGTGGTCGACAGATCAATGTCCAAGTGGAGGCCAGTGACGAGTGGTGTTCCTCTGGGGTCAGTACTGGGACCAGTGCTATTTAACATCTTTGTTGGCGACATAGACAGTGGAATCGAGTGCACCCTCAGCAAGTTTGTTGATGACACCAGGATGTGTGGTGTAGTCAACATGCTGGAGGGAAGGGATGCCACCCAGAGGGACCTTGACAGGACTGAGAGGTGGGCCAGAGAACAGATTGAGGGCCCTGAAGAGAAGGACATGGGAGTGCTGGTTGATGAGAAGCTCAACATGAGCCGGCAATGTGCACTGGCATCCCAGAAAGCCAACCGTGTCCTGGACTGCAACAAAAGCAGCGTGGACAGCAGGTCGAGGGAAGTGATTCTGCCCCTCTACTCTGCTCTCTGGAATACTGCATTCAGCTCCGGGGCCCCAACACAAGGACATGGAGCTCTTGGGATTGTGTCCAGAGGAGGGCCACGAAGATGATTCGAGGGCTGGAGCACCTCTCCTATGAAGACAGGCTGAGAGAGTTGGGGCTGTTCAGCCTGGAGAAGAGAAGGCTCCGGGGTGATCTTATAGCAGTCTTCCAGTACCTAAAGGGGGCCCCAAGAAAACTGGAGAGAGATTTTTTTACAAGGGCATGTAGTGATAGGACAAGGGGCAATGGCTTTACACTGAAAGAGGGCAGATTTAGATTAGATATAAGGAAGAAATTTTTCACTCAGAGGGTGGTGAGGCACTGGAACAGGTTGCCCAGAGGAGCTGTGTATGCCCCATCACTGGAAGCATTCAAGGCCAGGTTAGATGAGGCTTTGGGCAACCTGGTGTAGTGGAGGACTTCTCTGCCCATGGCAGGGAGGCTGAAACTAGATGATCTTTAAGGTCCTTTCCAACCCAAACCATTCTAGGATTCTATGTTCATATTGGTACAAAATAGCACTTAAAAACCAGTGCTGAGCTGCATAAGATGAAATTCTACGGCCCATGTTGTGCAAGCAGATTAAGAGAGCTACAGCTATCCCCTTCCACTGCCAAGCCTCTTATCGGCCACCCATGGTCTTCCCTGGAAGGCAGGTGACTACTGACAGTTATGGAAGGAAAGAAACAGATACATGAATTGGAGCAAGTCAGGGCCAGGGCCGGGATTACAGCATTAGGGTCTCGTTCCCTGGGGTGTGCACAGCCCATGAGAACAAATTATCTCACGTTATTGA